GGCCGCACCTCAACTCGATGAGCCCGCGCTTCTCTGGGAAGCGAGGACCAGGGAGCGCTGGAATGTGTGTGGGAACTTGGACAGAGGAGGCCATGCTGGCTCCCCATGGCCCTGCCTAGGGATGAGTTGGGAGAAGGCCAGAGGCCAGGAGGATGGGAGGGCCCACAGTGCTGGACTGGGTGCCTGGCAGGATGGCATGGGAAGGACACAATCCTGGGTCCAGAACCTGCTCCACCTCTTCCCCGCTGTGTGACCTTGGACAGGTTATTGAGCTCTGAGTCACAGATGCCGGTCTGTAGAASAGGGCTGTCCCCGCCATTGCTGCGGATTGTCGTGAGAATCACAGCTGATGTGTATGGAGCGGCTGCCCCATAGTAGGTGCTCGAAAACGGTTGTACTTGATTCAAAAGGAGAGTGGAGAGGGGCCAGGGGGTCACTGGGCTGTGGTTACTGTGCTCTGAGTCGGGGGAAGGAGGCTATGCTGAGGACAGAACAGCCTGGGGACAGGGGAGGAGGAGACCCTGGCACAGGACCCCAGGGATGACCAAAAGGGCAGGAGGCTTCTCCTGGAACTTGGAYTCCCTCTCCTGAGGGACGCTGGCTCTAGATCATGGAGTGCCCACAATGTGCAGTTAACTGGATTTGGCTTTGGGATACAGAATTTCTCAAGCCAGGGGTAGATGGGACAAGGTCCCTGCCCCTCAAAGCTCTTTTCTTTATTATTTTATTTCATTTTGGTACTCAGCGATGCTTTACCACTGAACACATGCCCAGCCCTTTTTATTGTTTATTTTGAGACAGGGTCTTGCTACGTTGCTTAGGGTCTCACTTAGTTGCTGAGGTTGGCCTTGAACTTGCAGTCTTCCTGCCCTCTCCTCTGGGGTCACTGGGTGGGAGGGCACCCAGTGACTGCCACATAAAACATTGGTTCCCTCTGTTCCTGTTTTCTCTTTTCCTTCCCTGCCTCTTGCTTCGTCCTGATCCCTGCCAGAGGTTCTGGGGGATGAGGATCAGAAAAGACCAGTGCAGAAAGGGCCATGGCCCCCAAAGAGGACTGAATTCCTGCCTCTGAACTCTGGGATCAAATCCCAGTCCCACCTTCCCTGCCTAGGGGTACCAATCAGGGTTCTTCAGAGAGACAGAACCAGCAGGCGATGGGTGGATGGGTGGATGGATGGATGGATGGGTAGATGGATGGGTAGATGGGTGGATGGATGTATAGATGGATGGATGGGTGGATGGGTGGATGGATGGGTGGATGGATGGGTGGGTAGATGGATGGATAGATGGATGGGTGGATGGATGGGTGGATGGGTGAATGGATAGATGAATGGGTGGATGGATGTATAGATGGATGGATGGGTGGGTGGATGGATGGGTGGATAGATGAGTGGGTGGGTGTATGGGTGTGTGGGTGTGTGGGGGTGGGTGGATGTGTGGATGGATGGATGGATAGATGGATGGGTGGGTGGATGGATAGGGATAAGTTTTTAGGGGACTTCAGCTCATGTCATTCTGGAGGCTGAGAAGTCCCAGGACAGGACAGGCTGAAAAGGCAGGGGAGTGGGTAATGTGGCTCAGTTCCAGTCCAGACAGCTCTGAACCAGGGGAGSCCATGGTGTGCCTCCCAGAGCCAGAAGGCTAGAGAATCTGGAATTCTCATGTCCRAGGACAGAAGTGGTCTCAGCTCCAGATGCAGGAGAGCCAGCTGATTTGCCTTTCTTCTGCCCTTTTGTCCTGTCCGGGCCCTGGGCTGACTGGGCCCACCCTGGGTGAGGACAGATCTTCCTTTCCCAGTCCTCTGCTTCAGTCCTCCATATGAATGCTGCTTTGCCTGCCATCTGGGTGTCCCTCACCCAGGCCACGTCCACACCTAACGTTAACTGTCACTAAGYCCCCTTGGGCAGGTAGCTTTGGGGCTCCTTGATTGGCCATGGGAACCCCCAATCCCATGCTGGGGATCAGACCCTGGCCTTGCACATGCTCCACAAGTGCTGTGCCACTGAGCCACACCCCTAGCTGTTGTGATATCAAGTTCCACATGAAGTGCTCTGCACAGTGCCTGGACCAGTCCAGCCCTCGACACCTGCTGGCCACCACCATTACTAGCACACGGGTGGCCTCCTGTCCTACTGCCCTGGCTAGCTTTCCCGTGCCACCTGGTCAGCCTCTTTAACAATCACATCCCTGAGCCTGTGGCTTCTTGTCTACAGTAGAACCTGCCGGACGGGGTTGGTTGAACACCAGCTGCTTAATAAAAGTAAAGGTTTCCAGGGTCACAATAGCCTTATGACCACTGGTGAGAAAAATCAGATGGGCTTTGTGCCCACTTGATGAGCTGAAGAAAGTTGATTGTGTCCCCAACTTGGCCACAGGGAGTGCCAGATGCCAGCCACATCAGGTGCAGCTCTTCAGGGACAGCTGTTGATTGCCATTCAGAAGGACACAGCATTTGACCAGAGGGAGCTTCTCGCCTGCTCCCAGGGTGGAGGAGGCAGGGGTGGGATGATGCATCTGGCCATGTGGCACTGGGGATACACAGCCTGCCTCCCTGACTCTTCTCTCGGACCCTGCCTGCCTACCTTCCTGAGCCCGTCCCTGTGTAGACCCAGCCCAGGGCTGCAGTGAGAGAGCCTGAGTCTACTGTGGGCTTCACATTCACATCTCATCTCATCCTGAAGTCAGATCATTTCACAGAATGGCCCAGAGAGTCTATGTGAATTACCCACAGTCACACAGMAGATTAGAATTGGAGCAGTGACAGCTGGAGCAGTTTTCATTACACGTGCTCCTTCAGCTGAGAGCCGGGAAGCTGGTCACCTGCTGACCCCAAGGATCGACCCCAGCAGGTCCCACCTGCTCTGTGCCTGGACTCCTTGTCTGGACAAGGAGGAGAGTGGTCCCAGCCACGGGGCATTCCCTTCTGGTCTGCTTGCCCCATCCTAGCTGCATGGTGCCCCTTCCCCAGGCTGAGAGTGCATGCTCCTTCCTGGTCCCTGACCCTCCTCTCGTCTGACACAGGCTGGAGGGGGTTTTGAAGCACATGCTCCACTTCCACAGGCAAAATTAAAAGAGCACAGAATGATATAAAGTAAGAAGTGCCCCTCCTACCCTGTCCCCTATGCTCCAGTCCCTTGAACGTGACCACCGTTACCAGTTTGCTTTGCCATCTTCTAAATCTTCTCTGTTGGTCCATCCATTGCATACTGCACTCGTTTTGCTTCAGTGGTGTGACGTGGGGAGGGTTCCACTCAGTGCCAGGGCACTTGGCACAGGCCTGCACTTGACTTAGCCGGTGCCCTGGAGGCAGGTACTTGGGTTGATTCCAGCCTTCGGCGCTGACCAGCGCTGCTGCAGTAAATAACCCTGTGCATCTCGGTGCGCCCTGCGGCTGGGCGGGAAATTCCTAGAAGTGGTATTGCAGGGCGGAGTGTGTGCCGAAGAAACTGTACCAATAACTTGATCCCTTGTGTTCTGCCAAGTCACTTCCCCACTACCACAGGCGGGAGGCACGCTGCTGGGGTTCACCTTCATTCCCATGAGGCACGAGAAGGCCGTACAGGGTTGTCGCTTGGAAAAGAGCACCAGGCCCTGGACAGACAGGGAGACCAAGGCCAGGGAAAGGCACATCTTTGGCAATGATCCTCCTGGGTGGGTACCACCTGCCCTGAACCTGAGGGCCAGCTGCTGCTAAGGGGCAGGGCTCCCCTGGTCAGCCTCTTTAACAGCCACAGCCCTGAGCCTGAGCCTGTGGGTTCTTGGACTAATTAGCTGGACTGAATCTTGCACACCCCACCCTCTCTGAGCAACCTCACTGGTCAGGATCCTCAGTCCCTGATCTGCAGCATAGAGATGGGGAGGTGACCCAGAGCAGAACCAGGGTCCAGCTGGAGGCCAGCAGCTCCTAGTGCTGGAGGGCCTGGCTTGGAAGACCAGGGCCTGGTCCTCCGTGTCCTGTCTTCTCACTATTGAGCCATGCTTGCTTGGGGCGGCAGCAAGGCCTGGTGGGGGAGGGGAGTGCCCCCGGCCCCGGGGCAGCACATGGCCTAGATTGGACAATGGTGATGCCAGCTGACAGATCCAGGGCAGCCACAGCCGCCCCAGACRCTGTACAGATCACAGTGGTCTGACCCGTGGGCCAAGGGGTTCTGCGCCCTAGATGCTCAGACTTACAAGCTGCTGATGGGGGCTGCGGGGGCTGCTGATGGGGCTGCGGGGGCTGGTATGAAGGCCACCAGGGGAGTGCTGATGGCTGGTGGCCCTGCCGGGGGTGAGAGAAAGCCTTCTGCCAGCCTCCCGGGGAGCGTGGGTTCTAGCTGCCGGTAGAGAGTTGGGGGGCTTTAGGGCCAAGACCAGGCACTGCACTGGCTGGAGGGGKTTTTGAAGCCCAGGGGGATGGTTTTGGGGAGGGGTTTTGGGCCTAGCGCAGGGACCCACCCAGCTGGGTCACTGTGGGAACGCTGAGGGGAAAGCTGGTAGGACCACACAGAGCCCAGCAGCCCCATCTGAGAGGGCAGGGTTGAGAAGCCCGCTGGGAATCCCCAGGGGGCCCTGCAGGATGCCAGCCTCAGGGACAGCCTGTGGCATATGCACAAAGATCAGCCTGAGGCTGGCTGCCAGGAGCTGTGCTGTCTGTGACATAAACCACAGATTCACACAGCGCGAATACACAGTATGTGGCTGTCACTGACTGCAGGGGTCCAGGAGCTTAGGAAGGGAAACAGGCGCTGGTTCTGGGGTTGGGGTTCTGAGAGGACCACCCAGAGGAGCTGGATGGACTTGGGGAGGAGGATGGAGCAGGTGTGGGGGAGATGGGGAGGCCGGCACAGGGCGTTACAAGTTGAATATTGGGGTTACCTTAGGGATGGAGAACCTTTTGCTGGGCAGGAAGCCCCCATTTCAACCCAAGGTTGCCCTCCCGCATCCTTCAGCAGGCTGGGGAGTCTGGAAGGGGGGATGGGGGACTTTCCTTACCCCCTTGTGTCCCCTCTGCCCTCCAGTGCATGAGCCGCGGAGCCCGCTAACCATAGTGTCACACCTGCTCATCTCCCCACGGCCACACCATGTCCGGTTCCTACGATGAGGCCTCTCTGGCTCCGGAGGAGACCACTGATAGCTTCTGGGAGGTGAGTGTTTGATGATCCCTATGTCCTGGGGACCAGACCACCSGGATGTGGAAGGCCAGGCCCCTGCCCATGCCTCCGGCATTGGCCCCTAGCCCCCAGACTCCTCCAAAACCCTCAGTGTTCACCTGGCAGCTGAGGCCACACAGTGGGGTGAGACTGCTGCTCATGGATCCCAGAGCCCCTCTGCCCTCTGGCACTACCTCCAGGGACCCGGTGACCTTTCACAGTGTGGAAACAGGCTCCTCCTGACTCTCTGCTCTGGGGGCTCCAGGTTTCGGGAGCTTCCAGAAGTCTGTGATACTTGGGGGGAAAAAAACTGCTTTTGGCTCCGGAAACGCAAAAAGGAAACTGCCAGACCTAAATTAATAAGTGTTTAATGAGATGTCTACAAAACATAATATTGTGTCAAGAAGCTGCAGCTCAACTCAATGCTTATATGACTCTGTATAAATATAATAGATTTAGCTCCGCAAGAGCAAAATGAATAATTCATTCTAGCCCAAGTCCAAATTATAAAATTCCTTCTGCATTCGTGACAGTGAGATTATGCTTGAAGTGGGATGCGGGTGCGCAGGGTTGGCGGGGTGTGATGCGGGTGTTGGGACCCCCGCAAGTGAGAGAGTCCGGAGCCSCGGGCGCGACCTTGCTGGAGGCTGGGGCGAGGCGGGCGCCCCCTGCAGGGCAGGGCCGAGGTGGCAGGAGCGGCGGGAGTCACGCGCGCTGCTTGACCGCCAGGTGGGGAACTACAAGCGGACCGTGAAGCGCATCGACGACGGCCACCGTCTGTGCAACGACCTGATGAACTGCGTGCAGGAGCGCGCCAAAATCGAGAAGGCGTACGCGCAGCAGCTCACCGACTGGGCCAAACGCTGGCGCCAGCTCATCGAGAAAGGTGCCTCTAGGACCATCCCCAGCGCAGTTCCAGACCCTGGTCACCGCCCCCGCAAGGGCGGGTCCCGGGAGCAGCCACCTGGAGGCGCCCTACGTCCTCTAGCCACCAGGGCCTTTTCAGGGCTGTACCCTCCTAGACCAAACCAGGCCTCCCGGTTCAGCTCTTTTTAGTTACCTTTTGTATTAAGTTTCTAGAAAAGTTGCAAACCATAATTCAGAGAAATCCTAGGCACCCTTCGTGTAGTCACCACCTCTCTGCCGATCTGTTGGTTTGTATTTCTTTTTTTTAAAATTAATATATATATTTTTAGTTGTAGTTGGACCCAATACATTTATTTCATTCATGTATTTTTTATGTGGCGCTGAGGATCGAACCTAGGGCCTGGAGCATGCTAGGCGAGTGCTCTACCGCTGAGCTACAACCCCAGTCCCTGCATATTTTTTTTCTGAACCATTTGAGAGGAAGTTGGAGCCATCATCCCCCCTAAATTCTGCATGTAGGGCCTAAGAACAAGAATATTCTTGTTTGTCCAGTTACCAAATCTGGGACATTTAATAGCCCCTAAGTAAATTTGACTATAGCAATGGTACAGGCTGGTCCACGGTGGAAGCCACAATCACGCATTGTGTCTAGTTGTCAAGTCTCTAGAATCTAGATTCCCGTCACCCAGAACAGTTTCAAGTTGAGGTTTACACACATTTGTTAGTATTTTTCTCTCCTACTAGGCTCTCAACTCCTGAGGGCAGGGCTGAGCCTGTACCCCATAGTACAGTGCCTGGCTGGTGCCAGTATGCAGGCAACAAAGGTGAATGCCTGGTCCCCGTGACCTTCTGGCAYTGTCACAGTGGGTTCTTGATTTTCCCATTCAGCAACCCTCTAGAGCACCTGCTGTGCGCCTGGCACTGTGTGGGGCTTTTGAACACTTGGGGAGCCTTGGCCACCCTGTGGGGCTCATGTGCTGATGCAGGAGACACTGAGTGGGTACAGGGCAGACGCTGCCCAAGGAACCAGTGGGGCTACAGAGGGTGTGAAGGCCRAGAATCAAAGATGGAGTCCTAGAGGTGGTGGCTGTGTTGGGGCCCTGGAAGGTGGATAGAATGTAGGGAGAGCAGAGGGGGGCGATTCCATAGCCACAGGAAGGAAGTGAAAGGCCTAGACAAAGGTTTGAGGGGGCCACCGGGGAAAGGGTGATGGRTCCTCATTGGTGCGGCTATTCCCTAGGCCCACAGTATGGCAGCCTGGAGCGGGCCTGGGGGGCCATAATGACAGAGGCGGACAAGGTGAGCGAACTGCACCAGGAGGTGAAGAACAACCTGCTGAACGAGGACCTGGAGAAGGTCAAGAACTGGCAGAAGGACGCCTATCACAAGCAGATCATGGGCGGCTTCAAGGAGACCAAGGAGGCTGAAGATGGATTCCGCAAGGCCCAGAAGCCCTGGGCCAAGAAGATGAAGGAGGTGCCCACATGGGGTGGGGGTGGGCAGCATGGTCAGGGCTGCCGGTTGCAGGGAGGGTGTCTGTGCAGGGGGCAGGCAGTGCACTGCCCTTAGGGTCTGTGCACAGGGCTGAAGCACCCATGTCCAGGAAGAACAGATGGGTGGCCAGTGCCCAATGGGTAGAGAGACCCATGGAGAAGGAGACTGTCCTCAGGCAGGGGTAAGAGGGTGCATTGCCCCCTGGATCCACAGATCCAGGGCGTGCTCTGCATTACCTGACTGACAGGACGGTGCCTGCAGGGACACACTGTTCCTGAATGCCTGGAGCCAGGGCTGTGTGCTCCCAGCTCCCCAGGAGTGGGCAGTGGGCGGAGCTGATGATTTACCATATTTGCTCCTGCTGACCTGTGGGAGCCCTGTCCCCTGCCTCCCCTGCCCACAGCTGGAGGCGGCCAAGAAGGCCTACCATTTGGCCTGCAAAGAGGAGAAGCTGGCCATGACCCGGGAGATGAACAGCAAGACAGAGCAGTCCGTCACACCTGAGCAGCAAAAGAAGCTGCAGGACAAAGTGGACAAGTGCAAGCAGGACGTGCAGAAGGTGCCGCTGGGCTGGGGGTGGCAGCAGGGACCTGAGGGCCATGAGTGGGTGGTGGCTGGGAGCTGCAGATCTGGCAAGGTCTCACCACCCTCCGTCTGGGTGCCTGCAGACTCAGGAGAAGTATGAGAAGGTGCTGGAAGATGTGGGCAAGACCACGCCCCAGTACATGGAGGGCATGGAGCAGGTATTTGAACAGTGCCAGCAATTTGAGGAAAAGCGGCTGGTCTTCCTCAAGGAGGTGCTGCTGGACATCAAACGGCACCTCAACCTGGCTGAGAACAGCAGGTACCTGGGCAGGATGGGCACGCAGGGCACAGCACAGCTGGCATGTGGGTGTTTCAGGCCCAGTGACAGGAAGGGGAGGGCAGAGCTGCAGGGGCCACGGAAGAGATGTGTACTAAGCACCCAAGAAACATACACCTGGGTGGACGGGTGAGTGGCCGAGGTGGAGTGGAGGAAGGAGCCTGCTGGAAAGCCTGCTTGATTCCTGACTGGGGGCGTGCCCAGTGCCCCCGCCCCCTGCATGGAACGAGACAAGGCCATGGTGAACCTGTGCCCTCCACCTCTCCCATCTCCCTTCATACAGCTACATCCATGTGTACCGTGAACTGGAGCAGGCCATCCGGGGGGCTGATGCCCAGGAGGACCTCAGATGGTTCCGCAGCACYAGCGGCCCTGGCATGCCCATGAACTGGCCCCAGTTTGAGGTGTGTGGGAATATGGGAGAGGAGCCTGGAAAGACCAAAAGGGGCCTCAAGCATAACCCCTGAGCCTAACTGTTCCCTGCCCCCCAGGAATGGAACCCAGACCTTCCCCACACCACTGCCAAGAAGGAGAAGCAGCCCAAGAAGGCAGACGGAGTGGCACCGAGCAATGCCACGGGGGCAGTGGAGTCCACCTCCCAGGCTGGGGACCGTGGCAGGTGAGTGTCTCCCATGGAGCTCCTGAGGAGACAAGAAATGGTCTAGATCATAGCAAGCATGTCTCTTTTAAAAGAGAAGATGCAAGCCGGACACGGTGGCACACACCTGTTATTCCAGACACTTGGGTGGCTGAAGCAGGAAGATTTAAAGTTGAGGCTATCATCAGTAACTTAGCAAGACCCTTCCTCAAAAAAAAAAAAAAAAAAAAAGGCTGGGGCTGGAGTTGTGGCTCAGCGATGGAACACTCGCCTCCCACATGTGCCGCCCTGGGTTCAATCCTCAGCACCACATAAAAATAAATAAATAAATAAATAACAAAGGTATTGTTTCCAACAATAACACACACACACACACACACATATATATATATATATATATATATATATATATATATTAGTTGTAGTTGACACAACACCTTTATTTCACTTGTTTATTTTTTTATGTGGTGCTATGTAACTCAGGGGTAGAGCACCCTGGGTTCAATTCCCATTACCAAAAATAAATAAACATAATGTAGAAGTATTGATCCTAGATATCTGCTGGGTGTCAGTGGCCACTCCTCTAAGCATTTTCCTTATGTTAATTCATTCAAGCCTTCTACCACTTTGGGAAGTGTGTAAATATTCCCATTTGACAGGTGGAGAACCTGGAACCCAGAGAATTTAGATGACTTACCCAAGGTCACACAGCTAGTTAGTAAACCTCKGAGCCAGGAAATGATGCCAGGAGGTTTGGCTTCAGCATCCTGGCTCTTGAAACATTAGGAGGTGTTTTTCCTTTCAGATGAAGGGTCAGCCACTTTTCTGGGATCCTCTTTAGAAAAAAATAAATAAATAAAAGAGCCGAAGTAATAATGCAGATGGCCCTGCCTCAGTTCGCTTTTGAGCGGTCCTGAGAGTCACCGGCTCCAGACCCCTTCCCATAAGGCCAATCCCCGCTCCAGGCTTGGTGGACTATGGGGCTCCAGCTCTGGTTAGGAGGAGGGGGCTAACACTAAGGACGCAGCTGGGGCCACTCTTGAGGGGTCCTCCCTCTGCGTCTCAGCGTTAGCAGCTACGACAGAGGGCAGCCCTACGCCGCCGAGTGGTCGGACGACGAGAGCGGGAACCCCTTCGGGGGCAATGAAGCCAACGGAGGCGCCAACCCCTTCGAGGATGACACCAAGGGAGTGCGCGTGCGGGCGCTCTACGACTACGACGGCCAGGAGCAGGACGAACTCAGCTTCAAGGCGGGTACGGTGGGCGGGGCGGGCGCGCCTGGGCGGGGGCGGGGCCTGAAGTCGGAGGCGGGGCTTGGGAAGAAGCCTGGGCCTGGATTGGGTGGGGCGAGGGCGGGGCCTGAGACAGGGTGGCCAGGATTTGCGARAAGTGCGCTGGGGCGGAGCCTGGCGCGGGGGCGGGGTCGAGAGCGGGTTAGGTGGTGGCTGAGGTAGGTCCCGGCCTCTCGCTCCAGGAACGGCGCGTGGATGTTGGGTGGGGACAGGGGCGGGGTCGTGGCCAGAATCTATGCCCAGGTAAACAATCGGAGCATTGGAGCAATAGTGGGGTGGAGGCCCTGAAGGGCTCGCCTGGCCGCGAGTTTACTGAGGGAGGCGCGGCCCCTCTCTGAGCTCCTGTCCTTGTCAACAAGCTCCCGTGTGTGTTCCCTTCCCAGGAGACGAGCTCACCAAGCTGGGCGAGGAGGATGAACAGGGCTGGTGCCGCGGGCGTCTGGACAGTGGGCAGCTGGGCCTCTATCCCGCCAACTACGTGGAGGCCATCTAGCTGCCCTGCTGGCTCCTCTCCCCTTCACTCTGCACCCACCGCCTCCCCTTCCTTCCCACTCTCGTCTCCTCCCCCTCGCCATAGAGTTCCAGACATATTTTCCGATCAAGCTTTTATTTTTTTAAAAGTCTAAACAGAACAAAACAAAAAAATACAAAGAGACAGAGCATTTGCAGGGCCACCTGGAGGCCAGGGTGGTGGGGCTTGGGACAGGATGGCCCCAGGGTGGGTGAGGGTCTTAGGACTTAGCCCAGCATCACAACATCTGCTCTTCAGAGTCCACCAAAGAGTCTCCTGAGCCCCGAGGGACATCTTCTGGACCCTTCTACCCTCCTCACCCCACCCTACCCCACCCCAGACTGCCAGTACTGTCCTTGTTCCCTGAGCCTGGCTTCCTGACCTCTTCTTCCTCCTCACCCCCACCCCCTTCCACCACTACCCCACTCTTAAAGGCCTCCCCTCAAGACCCCAAGAAGGGAGGCCTCCCAATCTTTAGTCTTCCACTGTGCCCCAGGAGTGCCCTCCTCCTCCTTGCCCCATCCCTTGGGATCAGTGGGACTACTGGAGAAATGGTCACCCTCCTTCCCCATAGAGGTTTCCAGGGGTCCCCAGACTCCCCCAGACATGAAGAGGGGTGAGCTGGAGGAAGTGACATTGTCTCTGGAGAACAGGAAGGTGAGTGAAGGGAGAGTGGGCCCTCAACCCGGCCCATGCCAGCCCTCCCAACACCGGGCCCATCTGGAGGACCAAGACCCTGTCTGGGCCCGGCTTTCTGGCTGTCAGCACTGTGGGCACTCACCCTTCCTCAGAGCCACACCCCTTGATAGCTTGCAAAGACCCTGCCCCCTCCCACAAGTCCTTTGGCACAGGGCAGGGGCCCCCCAATCCAGGGCAAAGCCAGCAACAGTAGCAGCCTCCTCCCATTTCCTGGGGAGAAGGGCATCTTGCCTGCCCCTACAMCCTCCCTCCGTGTTCATCAAAACTATAGGGTCACTAGGCTCATCTTGGGCCCCCGTAAAACCAAGGCTGGTGCCTGCAAGGCTCCTGGCGTAACCACCCCTCTCTCCCCTCTCCTGTCCTGCCGGGGGAGACACACTGGGGGCCCATGGGAGCTTCCAGCCTCAGACTCRCAGGAGAAAGCCTGCAGCTGAGCTTGGTAGGAAGGAGGCACCCCGGCCCTCAGGAGCAGGATGGTCTCCAGTCTTTCCTCCTTGTCCTCCCAGCTCCCTGAACTCCCCCTGCTGGCAGCACCCCAACTGTCCAAACACGGGTCCCCATTAAAGGACTCTGGGTGTGGGAGGGGACAAAGGGTCCATCTGTTCAGTGAGAGCAGTGGTGCAGAGTGCCAGCCTCTCCCTTGGGGTGGGGGTGTAGGGGGAGCTTGAGAACAAGACCAGGTTGACAAGGCCCCCAAAGTTGGATGAGTAGAAAAGTCTAGAGGAAAAGTCTCTTGGAAGTCTCTGGGGCGAGGCCCTCAGAAGTCCTGCTGCCCTGGGCAAGGCTTGCTCACAGCTGGTGCCACTTCTAGGCCTCTGGACTGCAGACACCTGTGGTCCTCCCTTTTGCCTCAGGTGGCCTCCGGGGCCTCCAGGTAAAGATGGCATCCTACCCCAGCCCCTCAGACCCCCTCAGTCCTCTTTCTCTCCTGCTGCTTCTCCCAGAAGCCCACTGTTAGGAGGTGGTGGGCCCTGGCATGAGGCTCTGCTCTTCTTCCTGTGGGCACAGAGGATCGTGACAGCTGTGGTGGCCGCCTGAGCTAGGGCAAGCCTCCCTCAGGGCCAGGGGCAAAGGCACCCCAGGCACAGGCACCCCCCAGCTGCCAGCACCCCTTCCTTATCACTTCTGGTCTCTGAGTCTCTGCTGCAGCCTGAGATGTGCCCTGGACCTCAGAGCTGGGGTACAGCTCCAGAAGCCCACGGCCCTCCCCGCTCCGGGACCAAGCTGCTGCCGCCCCTGCGGGCAGGAGCTGGGCCGGGGCCTCTGCCCCTCACCACCTACCCTGRAAAGGCAGGGCACTGGCACACCTGCACCTTGGGGCCTGGGCTCCCCCTTTCTGTGCCCGTGGCTTCCCAGCACCTGGGGAGGGCTGCGGCCCTGGCTGGACCCTAGGCTGTYGCCCTTGCATTCCCGCTGCCCCTTCAGGGCAGGGACTGGAAACATCCCTTTGGGGCAAGCACCTCCACTGCCCCCTTTGGGACCACCTTCTCTCAGTCCCCGAGCTCCTCAGGACCCTGGCGCTGGAGGGTCTCCCACCTGGAAGTCCCCCTGAGCCCCTGGGGCCCAGCCCCACCTGTCAGAGCTGGTGTTGGGGTGCCCATGTGCCCACAGCCGCCTCCCATGGCCCCCACCCACCCTCGATGCTGCACGGGTGCCCGGGGGAGGGGGTGCCCGGCGAGTCATGTGTTTTGTCCCCAGTTAGCACCATTCTACAGCCTGGTTCTGTGAGGGGCCAGGGCTGCCCGCCGCCCGCCACCCACCGTCTGCCACTTAGGCTTCCTGATTCCATTAGTTCAACACTTGTGAAACTCTGAGAAGTGCTGTGGTCTCAGCAATGCACCTGTTTTGTACATGATTGTGTAATTTAAAGGTATATAAATACAAAGATATATATATATATAAGTTGTGACTGTCCGACTGTGGATAAAATCCAGAACTGTGTCAACCTGGCTGGGCGTGCTCGTCTTGAGTTGCGTGCATCTTGGGTCCTGAGGGTTGTGAAGGCTCTTCGTACTGGACATCTGTCAGGGAAGCGGTCCCCCAGCAGGTCCCCCATGCTGTCCTGGCTGACCACCATGAGGCTGGGGGGCTGAGGGCTGGTCCCTCCACCTCCCAGGGTCTCAGATCCTGTCTATTCAGGGAGGTTATGCTGGAGGTTCTTGGGTACTGGTGTCTGGTGACAGGGAAAGTTGGGGCATTTAGGGTCCCAAACTCATGGTCTAAGGGTGAACTYGGCCTCTGAATAGTTTGTTTATTTTTAAAGCAGAATTCTGAGAGCCAGCAGGGCATGGTGGTKYACACCTGTAATCCCAGCAGCTTGGGAGGCCGAGGCAGGAGGATCGAGAGTTTAGAGCCAGCCTCTGCAACTTAGTGAGGCCCTAAGCAACTCAGTGAGACCGTCTCTGAATAAAAATATGTTTTAAAGAGCTGGAGATGTGGCCCAGCTGTTGAGTGCCCCTGGGTTCAATTCCCAGTACCAAAAACAAAAAGAGAAAAAATATTCTGGAAGTGCCGGCTGGGGCCTGTGGTTCTAGCTGCCCAGGCCCAGGCTCCCTGGCCTAACAGCATGTTTGCTGAATGAAGATGTTTCTCAGAGGCACCCTCAGGCCTTGCCGCAGCACTAACTCCAGCCCCAGCCCGAGCTCCCCGACACCAGCTGCACCCCTGGTGGGTGTCTTCKGGGCAGAGCAGGAGTCCCGGCCAGTCCTGTTCGACCACCAGTTCCCTGTGTTCCACCCCCACCCTGGGTCTCAGCTCCCCCATCCAATGAGGTCTCTGAGGCACCTCTGTCCTGGCAGCTGGGCAGGGACCCGAAACAGCCCCTCACCCCATCATCACCACCACCAGCCTCCTGCCCCGGGGCGTGCTCAGGACCAGGAGAGGTCGGATGGGGATCGCATCTACCGGCCGCCCAACTTCCCTTACTCCCTAATCTACTTCCATTTGAAGCCTTGGTTTTAGCCGGAGGAATCTTCSAGTAAAGACAAGAAGTCACACTGTCCTGTTTGTGTAGACTGTTCCACTTAGTGATGGGCAGCCCTGGAGGCGCGCGCCTTGAGGAGAGGTCAGGGAGACCCCTGGCTGGGGGGGGTGCTGATGGGGTGGCGTGTGGAGGGGGAAGAGGAGCCCACATGGCCCCTGTGGCCCCTCACGAGGTGTCACTGCCAAGCGTTCCTGTGCTGGGGCTGCCCCCTGAGGCCCCCAGGACCCCTCTTTCTGGAGCTGCTCCATCTCCCCACTCCTAGCCCTACTCCCCCACCCCTCCTGCTCCTGGGCCCGTCTGAGCTGAGGCCTGCCCAGGCCCTGGCCCAGCCGGGACATCCAAGCAGGTGGCTCCAAGACTCTTTGGGGGTGGGGAGGGCGGGCCGGAGACAAAACCAGTTCCGCAGAGCTGAGCCTGGTTCTGGCCAGGGCCCCAGTCTGCCCCCTCCCCCAGGGATGGGTGACAGCCAGGGCCCAGCGAGGCACAGGCCCGGGGCAGGGCCCCTCCTTCTCCAGGACCCATCCCAGCTGGCAGACGCCAGGGTGCTGTTTGCTCACGGCCAAGGTCAACTTYTCCTGAAGACAATGAAGCTGCTGGAGGCAGAAGGCAGGGGACGGGGCAGGACTTGACCCTGGTGGGCTGGTGGCGCTCCTTCCTGCTTGCTTTCTGGAAACCTGGCCTCAGAGGCAGAGGCTGTGGACACTGAGGATGCTGAGCAGTCATGGAACAGGAGGATGGAGGGACAGGAAGAGCCCTGTTCTTGGGGAGAGATGGACCAAGGTTCCCTTTCTGGTTCTGCTGCTACTCAGCTGTGTGATTGCAAGCCAGTGGCTTAATGGCTCTGAGCCTCAGTTGCATCATCTGCAAAATGGGGGCATGAACTCTGCTTCAAAACTTTATTGGGACGGTCAATGACAAAAAAAAAAAAACAACAACAGCGGGAACACGTGGCACATGGTAGACGCTTGGACACATAAGCTGGTGAGTCAATGTGGGCAGAGCATAAAGAAGCTAAGGGAAGGGCTGGGGCTGTGGCTCGGTGGTAGAGTGCTTGCCTGGCATGTGTGAGGCACTGGGTTCGATCCTCAGCATATAAAGAAAATAAAGATACTGTGTCCAAGTACAGCACATATATATATGAAGAAGCAGCAGCAGCTAAGGGAAGCCGGGTGCAGTGGCGCACGCCTGTAATCCAGGGGCTCAGGAGGCTGAGGCAGGAGGAACACGAGTTCAAAGCCAGCCTCAACAAAACAAGGTGCTAAGCAACTCAGCAAGGTCCTGTCTCTAAATAAAATACAAAATGGGGCTGGGGATGTGGCTCAGTGGTTGAGTGGCCCTGAGTTCAATCCCCGGTACCAAAAGAGAAGCTAAGGGAGCTACTTGCTCAGAAGAATGGACGGTGAGGCTGGTGTCCCCCCAAATAAGCTCAGGTGCCCACAACCTCCCCGGCAACGGGTGCAGCTCTCATGCATTCTCACTGGGACTCACAGCCCTGCGGATGGCACTGCTGTGGCCTTCAGGGGACAGAAACTTCGAGGAATTGACCTCTCTCCTGCCATCTTCACAGAGCCAGTGTCCCATAAGGGGACTGAAGTGCCCACCCTCTCCCCTGTCCACCACGCTGCAGGTCCAGTGGCCTCAGTTGGCCTAGCAGAGATCAGGGCCCAGGGCTCCCTGCCACCGTCACAGGCTGCAGAGGACGCCCCCCTCTCCACAGGACACAGGCGGAGYCCCCTCGGCCCCGGCCCTGCCTCCTGCCCTCAGCCCATCAGGAGGGAAAGATGAAGTGGCCGGTTCCAGACTCCCCTGGTCCTGGGGACTCACGGTCCATCCCGCACAAGCTTCTATCCRGCAATGCCAGCCCAATGCCACCTCCCCCAGGAAGCCTCCCCCACCACCCCAGGCCCCTGGGACCACAGCCTTTGGGCTGCAGACGGCCTCCAGGCTGCGCCATTCACTGCCAGGACACTGGGGACCTGTCAGTTCACTCATGTCTTTATTATCCACTCCTGGGGTCACRTCTGACCCCCCAACTCAGGGCGCACCACAGAGGCACGGTGCGGGGGTGTGGCAGGGGATGTGGCAGAGAGAAGCGCGGCCCTGCCCGTGAACTTGGCCAAGTCCTTGCCATTCTGTGGGCTCTGCTCCGCAATTCTGGGGTCAGAGGCTGGGTGGAGGGAGGCTCTCCCTCTCCCTCTGTCCTCCAGAGGAGGATGCACGTGAGCAGTGAGGCCCGAGGAGGAAGCACCCCCACCCAGGGGTCCAGGAGAGCTCACGTGGCCCTGGGAGCGCGGGCCATCCCCTCCCTGACCTTGGACTCCTGCAGGCCAGCAGCACGCTGCCCGGCCCTTCTCCCCAGGCTCAGGCTCTGGCCCAGGCAGAGGCCGGCGGGCGAGAGGGCCCTGAGGGTGGTGTGAGGCCTGGGCCCTCYGCAGCCCTCAGATGGGGTGCACAAACTGGTAGACGAGGCGCTGGGAGACGTCGGGCTTGCGGATGATGCCCTTCTTGTAATACTGGCGGATGGAGCGGCTCAGCTTGTCGTAGTTCATGGCCGGCCGGTTCTTGCGGATGCCCCACAGCCGGGCCACCTGGGCAGAGTCCTCGATTTTGAAGATGCCTGGGGGAGCAGAAGGGCCCACGGAGAGTCAGTGTGAGTGTGGGGACAGCAGCAAAAGACCACATCAACAGGTCAGTCTGCAAATCAAGGGAATGGGGCCCGGGCCCCCTTCAGCTCCAGGCCGGGGGGGGCAGGCTGCGGGGACCGTAACACCCCTGCCCCTGCATGTGCTGAGGACTAAAGGAGCCTAGGACAGGCGCCACAGCCCCCACGAATGGCCGGGGAGTCTAGGCAGGCTCCAGCCTCCCAGTGTGGCCTGGGAAATTGGTGGGGTCTTTGGGGATCCGCGGGTCTGGCCCTTGTCACACGGCCACTCCTGTTGTGGAGATGGCATAGGATCCTGGAAGCCCTGCTGGGCCCCTTTCTGTGTCTGTGACACACTTGGCAAGATCTCGGGGCCCCTGCCACCCGCACCCCTGGACTTCCCACGCCTGAAACGACCTCGGCCCTTCTCTGATGTCCCAGCCACGCAGACCCTCCACACCAGGGTGGCCAGAGAGCAGGTCTGGAGCAGTCCCCAGGCTGGAGCCCCGGCCCTGCTGAGGCTCTTTGCCCTGTCTCTGGGAGGGGGTGGCAGTGGCCACCATGGGGTGGAGTCGTTACAGCGGTGTTTAGAGAGGAGCCTGAGGAAGGGCCCCGCGGGACAAGCATTCCATTGTCACCACCCTCAGTCCTCGTCCCTCGGTCTCCAGTGCACACGGAGGCCCACACACCCTGCGCAGGAGCACTGCCCCCACGGCTTGTCCCTCTGCCCTCCTCTGAAGTCTTTCTGACCGACACAGCCGATCCCCTCCTTCTTAACAGTCCCCAAAAGGTCCCCACAAAGCCCATTTCACTGCTATTTTTCATACAAGACTGTGGGTCCCTTGAGGACAGAGTGTGGCTGTGCCCGCCCCACACCCAGGCACAGTCGGGGTAGGCCTCCGTGAGGCCCAGCCTCCCACAGTCAGGCTCCTTGGTTCTGGGTCTTGATGGAAACTCGCACTCGCCATCTAGCCCTGCACTGTCCAATATGGTGGCCACCAGGCACTGGTGGCTGTTGAGCGCTTGAGATGTGGCTGTCCACGTTGAGATGTGCCCAGAGTGTGAAGGACACACTAGGTTTCTAAGACGTAGTCCAATGTCTCAGTAGCTGCTTGTTTGCTACACGATGAAATCACAGTAATTTACACCAGCAGATCAAATCCAGGCCGAGCATCCTGCGAAATTCTTGGGATGGGAACTGTTCCAGATTTTGGAGTTTTTAGGATTTTGGAATATTGGCACACGCTTTCCCCACTGGACATCCCTCATCTGAAAACCCCGAATCTGCCTCCCTCCTCCCCTCTTGGGGCCTCTCCTGAGTCACCAACTCCTCTCCTTGTCCCACAGTGGCCTGGAGGGAGCAGATTTCAGATTTTTGAATTAGGGATGCACAACCTCCATTATTAAAATTAAATCTGTTTTTATTTTCTTGTCTCTCTCTCTMTATATCTCTTTTCTTTTTGCAGAGCTGGGGATGGAACCCAGGCCTCAGGCAAGCTACATCGGATACATCCCAAGCCCCAAATTTACATCTTTTTAAATATTCCAAAATGCAGCTGCAAGAAAATCTAAGTGACAGCCAGGCAGGGTGTCACATGCCTGTCATCCCAGCTGCTCAGAAGCCTGAGGCAGGAAGGGCTTGAGTTCAAAACCCGCCTCAGCAACTTAGTGAGGCACTAAGCAACTCAGTGAGACTCTGTCTCTAAACTATAAGAAAAAGAGCTGGGGACGAGGCTCAGGGGTTAAGTTCCACATGGGATTCACATTGTGTCTGTTCCTGGGCATCTTTAGTCTCCTTTAGTGACGCTGTGATGTTTTGAGGACAAAGACTGAGAATCCTAAACAGGACAGAGTCTAACCAGGAGACAGATGAGGTCACCACGGCAACCAGACCCTCCGTGGCAAGTTTGGTATCCAGGGTGAACGTGGGGCAGCCCCTCCCCCCTCCCGCGCCCCCTCGCTCACCCTTCTCCTTGTTGAGCCACCGGATGAAGCGACCGTAGCTGTGGGGCTTGAGCAGCAGCTCCTTGAGGAACTGCCACAGGTGGATGGGCTGTCCGGAGCAGGACGAGTCCACCTCGCTGTCGGTCCAGCTCTCCTCGCTGTTGGAGGCTGGTGGCCGGGGAGGGGCGATGAGTGGGCAGCCGCAGCAGCAGCCGTCMGTGCCTCTGCGGCCCCTCAACCCGCCCGCGCCCTGGCCTCCCTGCCCTGCCTGGCTCACCGCAGCAGTGAACGGCGCCCGGRGAGGTCCTCTCTTTCATCCAGGCCGCTGTGGGACAAGGAGAGGAGGTTGGTGACCCAGGAGAGGCCCCAAGAGGGGGGAGGGAGGCGTGTGGGTAGGATTATGGGGGGTCCCTGCGGCTCCCTGCCTCCTGCCAACGTGCACAGTCAGGTTGCTTTTCCAGAAGCCGCTGGGGGAAGCGGCTGGAGGGGCGGGCACCCCTGCGGGCACCCCCTCTTCGCTGGAGGGGCGGGGCACCCCTGCGGAGGCCTGGCCTGGAGTGGGTGTGAGGTCTGCACCTTGCTCAGCGCAGGGCATCGTAAACACCAGCTCCTGCCCTCCAGCTGCCAAGTGCACCAAGCAGAGCCGCCCCAGCTCTCCACCTGGCCCTCTGGTCTCTCCTGGGTGAGGCAGCTGGCTAGTGACCAGGAGGTCACCACCCACCCACCAGGGGCCTGGGCTGGGCAGGCACGGGTCTCTGATGGAATCCTGCRTGGGGCCTGTCCCCGTATTCATTGCAGGTCCCTAGGGACGGACGGGTCGGGACTATTGAGCTAAAACCACATCCTCCAAAGAGCCGATCTGCACAGGACACACTGGTGTCCAAAGAGATGGGGACAATTTAAACACGCAGGGGTTGACAAATGGCCACCAAAAGAACAGGGCAGCTGTGTGGCTGCTGATGGGAAGCAGGTCCGACACACTGGAGCCAAGAGCAGCGTGACCCACAGGACTCCTTATGTTTTTTTTTTTTTAATATTGTTTTAGTTGTTGGTGGACCTTATTTATTTATCTGTGGTGCTGAGAATCGAACCCAGGGCCTCGCACATGCCAGGCAAGTGTGCTACCACAGAGCCCCAGCCCCAGCCCCTTGGTTTGGTTTTTGAGAGTTAAAACTACGTTCGTACATTTGCTTGAAGATGCATAGACTTTCTCAGGAAAGACACCCCGGAAACTGGTGACAGTGGCTGCCACTGGGAAGCACTTAGCATTAAGGCCGGGGGTGGGGGGGGCTTATGCTCAAAGTATACTATTTACTATTTCTCACCATGGTCTTGATTTTTTTTTAAAAAAAAAATGTTTACTTTTTAGTTGTAGTTGTACACAGTACCTTTATTTTATTTTTCAAATCTTTATGGGGTGCTGAGGATCAAACCCAGGGCTTTGCACGTGCTAGGTGAGCACTCTGCCCCTGTGCCCCAGCCTTTATTTTCTTTTTTTCAATGATGCTTGGGGATTGGAACCAGGGCCTTGTGGACATGCTAGGCCCATGTTCTACTGCTGAGCTACACCCCAGACCTTTTCTCTTTTTATTTTGAAAGAAGGTCCCCCTAAGTTACTGAGGCTGGCCTCAAACTTGTCATTCTCCTGCCTCAACCTCCTGAATGGCTGACCTCAAACTTTCGATCCTCCTGCCTCAGCCTCTGGAGTCGCTGGGATCACAGACATGTGCTACCACCCCCCACCCCACCGCCTTACTGCGATTTTTTTTCTAAATGTGCACATTTGTTACTTCATGACTTCTCTAATGGAAAATAAAGCAAAATAAACAAACTTTAAAAAGGAAAAAGAAGGATTTCTTGCTGCCCTTAGTCACCCTCGGCTCTGATACTCYGTGTCCCCTGGAAAAGTCCCCTGGAAAAGTCTAACCTTCTACCTTTTCCCTTCCGTGGGCTACAGTTCTCTGCCCTGGACCAGGCTGGGGTGCTAAGTTGGTGAGATGCCCAAGGTCCAGGGAGGCTGCTGTCCCTGGGTAGAGATTCAGAGAGGGGGTTTGGTTTGGGGCRGTCCTGGTCAAGGGCCATCTCTTGGCCAGCATCCTGGCCTCACCCGCCCACTCGGCACCCCCGGCTTGGAGCCCTGAGGGGGGCCCCATGCACCACGCACCTGACTTCCAGATGTCCAGGTGGGCGTGCAGCACGTCCCCGCCCAGGGGGGAGCGCTGGCGGAACTGCTCCTCCGACAGGGCGCACAGCTCCTTGCCGCCCAGGTCCTGGAAGGCCCTGCCCACGGGGGGCAGGCGGTACTGGTGCTCGGTCCACAGCAGCCACTTCTGCACGTTGCCGGGGCTCCAGCCCACAGGGTCTGCGTGGGAAGGGCCCCTCAGCTCCTGCTTAGGCGTCACCTATGGGTGCCCCCACCCACGGGTGCCCCATCCACAGCTGATTCACCCATGGGAAACTGTGGTCTCGGGCCAGGCGTGCCTCGGATGGGGACAAGCCAGACTCAGACGGGCCTGAGGGGGGGCCCTGTGGCAGCAGGCACCCCAGGAAGGAGGGGACGGAGGGGAGGAGCTGGGCCCTGGACCAAACTTGGCTCAGGGAAGGGCCTGGCCTCTGCCCCGCCTCTCACCCAGGCCTCGGTCCCCCCGGACCCCTCTGGCCTCCAGAGGACCTTTCAGGGCAGCCCCAGCCCTGGCAGAGATGGTGACAATAAGCCAGAGACACCGGAGCTTCTCCCTAGACTCCCTGGACGTCTCTTGCCTTCCCCAGACCAGAGGAGAACCTAATCAGGAATGCRGGTGACAACCCCAACACCATCCCCGTCATCTTACAGAGAAGGACACTGACCCAACCCAGGCGGGCTGCATAGTAGCTGCTCAATGCACRCGGGTGGAAGAAAGAAGTGGCCGGGGGCAGGGCGGTGATGGGGCAGCTACGGGGCACACTGGCTSGGTCCCAGTCTCCCGTGGGAAGCTGCCCTGGAGGGAGCCCGGGCTGGGTACAAAGATGGGCGCATCCAGGGGAACACCACGGCCCGAGGCCGAGCCCCAGCAGGTGACCTGCAGGCTAGGCTGCCCCGGCTTCATAAACCCATTTTCCTCCCGAGGTCAAAGCAATTTGTTTCTGTCCCCATTGTTCTGAGAGCCGTCCCTCCCGGGCCGAGTGTGGGGGAAGAGGCGTCCTGGGAGAGGCTCTGTGTTGGGGCTGGCACAGGTGTTGGAAATAGTAAGACGGGGTGCCCCTGAGTGTGGGCACCCCTGGGGCACTGGGGGGCGGGGCCGGGTCAGAGGGGTGTGTGACCACCCCTTTCCCTTGTGGAAGCTGCAGGGCGAATAGGGACGCTCAAACGCCAGCCCCCAAACAGAAGTGCCAGGGAGACGATGCACCAGGGACCAGACCCATGGTGACCACCCCAGGCCCGGCGCACACATGCTCGGCCCCTTGTGTCCCCTCCTCCTCAGAGCCTCCTTGCCACCAGTCCGGGGACACATTCTATTTGTGACTTGCTTTCCTCTCTGTAAGGTCAGTCCATGAACATAGTGACCACTCGGTTCCCCAGCGCTAGAACAGGGCTGGCCTGGGAAGAAGCACCTGTGGTTGGATTTGTTCCACAGCTGTTTATTGAGCATCTGTTATGTTCAGGGTGCTATCCTAGGAACTAGGGCTCTGGAAATGAAGAATCAGAGGGAAATCCCTGCCTTTGTGGAGTGCATATCACAGTGGGGGACACACAGTCAACGAGAGAGGAAAGAAGCAGCATGTCAGACGGTCGGGCCCGCCTTGAGAGATCTAAAGAGAACTACGAGAGATAAGGAGAGCCAGAACATGGACAGCAATTTCTTTCTTTCTTTCTTGGTACTGGGGGTTGAACTGAAGGATGCTTTACAACTGAACGGCATCCCCGGATTCTCTATCCTTTTTATTTTTTATTTTTTTAAATTTTGAGACAAGGTCTTGCTAAGTTGCTGAGGCTGGCCTTGAATTTGCAATCCTCTTGCCTCAGCCTCCCAAGTTGCTGCAATTGTGGGCGTGTGCCACTGCACCTGGCCGTGGGCAACAATTCCAATAGAGGGACCAGAGAAGGCCTCATTGAGAGGGTGTCTGTCATCAGGACCTGAAGGAGCCCAGTAGGTATTTGAGGGAAGAGTATTCTATGCTGAGGGACCAGCAGGTGCAAAGTGGTGAGTGTCATGGGAACAGYGGACAGGCTGGTCTCTGGAGCAGAGTGAATGAGGGGACAGCAGRGATGAATCCCAGAGGAGGTGGGCCAGGTGACAGAGCCTGAATCCACTGGGGACACTGGGCAGAAACCCTCCCAGACCCGGCTTCAGCTGATGTGCCTTGTGGGCTGACTGTGTGGGGAATGCCAGGTCCCTGGGGCCKCCGGGGGCTGGGGCAGGTGGCCTCACCCCGGCCAGTGGTGCCCACCCTCCTCACCCTGCCCTGCCCTGCCCAGGGAGGCCACTCACCTGCGGTGATGCTGAGCAGCCTGCAGGCCGTCTCGATGTCCTTGAGCACCTCGCCCACCACCATGGACTGCACCTGCTCCAGCGAGTGCTCCTCCAGGGCCAGCGCCCCCGGCCCCAGGTCCAGGCCGCCCCCCGGCGCCTGGCTGTCGATGACGGGGCACTGCTCGGGCTCCTCGGGCGGCTCCTCGCGAGCGCCGGCCGCGGGTCCTTTGGCGGCCCAGGTGCCGTCCTCGGGGTAGAGCATGTCGAAGTAGGAGAGGTAGAAGGCGGACAGGCCCTGGTCGGGGGTGGCCGGGCGGCGGGGGCTCCAGGCCCGTCTCTCGGGCGCGGCCCCCTTCTCCAGGCCGTCGGGGGGCAGCAGCAGGCAGCCGGGGGGCGCGGCGCTGGGGCTGGCGCTGCCCATGGCGCCGGGGCTCGGGCGGACGGCGGCGCCTGCGGAGCGAGAGGCAGAGTCAGCGTGGACCGTCCCGGGGCCGCTAAGCCGGTTAGGGACGAGGCCGGTGGGCAGTGGGCCCGGCCTGGGGGCTGGGCTTCTGGGTCACTGGGCAGCGAGGCCAGGTGGGAGGCGCAGGAGGAGCCCCACCGGGCAGATGAGCAAAGAAGGGCTGGACGGGAGCCCTTGATGTTCAGCCTGTCCTGCTCATCTAGCCTAAATCTTTCCTGCTGTAGCCAAGGTGTTTTTTTTTTCTTTTTGTTTTTAATCCTGTCTTTTAAAATTTTGTTGATTTTTGTTTCCATGCTGGGGTTGGACCCATGCCACGTGGGTGCTCTGCCACCAAGCCTCACCTCCCTCCTTCTATGCCGCCCTTGGCAGGGTGTGGAAGGAGGAGGTTACCCAAGGCTACCTGCATCACCAGCCCCGGGAAAGAAGAGASTCCCTCCCCGGGGTGGACACAGGAGCCCCCGGCAAGTTGGGAGCTGTCCCTTCCCCTTCCCAGGGGCTGTCGGATGGAGTCACAGGGAGCAGCTCTAAGTTGCCACCCCCGCATCCTGGTTCCCACCCCGCCCCACCCTTCCTTGGAAAGCGCTGCCCAGGGCCCCCCAGCTCCCCGGCCCTCTGGGGTGGTGCCCAGTGCTGGGCTTTCCTGGTGGGTGACCRGGTGGCTCCAGAGAACAAGAGGGTCCTCGGCATCTTGATGCCCCCTCCTCACTGCTGCCCCAGGGCCCCCAGCCTCCGCTGGCCTTGGCACCAACTCAGAAGCCCCCCACGGCCAGCTGCCGGGGCCGAGTCAGACCACCCAGCTCGGGGGCAGGGACAGGAGAGGTGAGTGTCCCCTAGGACACCAGGCTCCTGGGGACAGTGGGTGATGTGTGGGCCTGAGGCTCAGCACACATCTGACACAGGCGGAAGGTTATTCAGGTGCTGCGGCGGAGGAGGAAGGGAAAGGACAGGAGGGACAGAGATGGCCAAGGGGCCAGGGCCGGGGGACTCGCCCCTCCCTCCAGGCCGTGCAGATGTTAAAACCAAGGGTCTCRGAATGTGGCGCCCGGACCAGCAGTAGTGCCTGGGAACTGGGTGGAGCCCCGAATCCTCAGACCCCCTCTGAGCCGGAGTCAGGAGCCCTGGGGCAGCTGGATGCCCACTCGCCGGGCCTCTCAGAGTTCAAGTTTGAGTTGCCCTTTCTTTTTGCACTGGGCCAATCCAGGGGCACGTACCCACCAAGCCACATCACAGCCCTTTTTATTTTTCATTTTGAGACAGGGTCTCACTAAGTTGTTGAGGCTGGGCTTGAGCTTRTGATCCTCCTGCCTCAGCCTCCTGAGCTGCTGGGATCACTGGCCTGCGCCACCACACCTGGCTTGAGTTGCTTTTTTAAAGGTATCTGGCCGGCGGGAAGAGGAKACTCATCTGAGGACTGATAGCTTCTTCAAGGGCCAAATTTATAGGAGTTCGCTGGGACAGCATGGAGGGCGTGGGTGTTTCCCAGCCCATCTCCATTGTGGACTGATCTGCTCAACCTCAGTGTGCGCTTGGCCTTTGCCCCTGCAGGTGGAGCAAGGCAAAGAACCTGGCTGGAAATGATGTCCCTTCCTCTCCAGGTAGCAAAACTTGGTGAATGGGGCCCAGCTAGAATTTCAGCGCCCTCTACCCATTCCTCTTACTCAGTGCCCAACCTTCCCAACCTTCCATGGCAGCCCTACAGTTTCCTGMGGTAGCGAGAGTGCCAACAGGAGAGAAGGGTGTTCCCTTTGATTCTAACTCTTCCTTTCAAGGGCTCCTTTAAGTGACAAGGAAGAAGAGGTCAGGGTGGGTGGGGTGGGCAGGGACAGGGGGGCTGGTGGTGGGGGACAGAGGGCAGGTCTGGAACCATTTCAAGTCCTTCTGTGCAAACACTCCTGTGTGCCATGGGCCCATGCTATTTACCCAGGCCGCGCCAACAGCCCTCGGTGCCCCTGGGCCCCCACCCCAGCCTGTGCCCACACCCTAACCCTAGGCAGCTCCACCCCGGAAGAGCCCCCACACCTTCTCCTCCACCTCCTGCRAGCCTCCCGCCCGGTCCACGTCCCCAGAACCCCCTGCCTGCCACGTTAGGGCAGCCTCTGCCAGCTCCCCGGGCCTCCTGCCAGGGAGGCGGCCTTCCCAAGAAACAGGAGGCTTCTTCCCTCGTGACTCCTGTTTGCTCAGCCTTRGCCGCAGGTGGGAGGGGAGGCTGCGCTGGGGGCCAGGGCACCGTGGTGAGGGTCGGGGGTGCGTCCTCACCTCGGCCAGGGGTCTGCACCGCCTCGCCCCTGAACCCACCCAGGAACCTGCTGCCCACCAAGCCTGGGCCCCAGTTCTAGCACTTTCTRCTGAAACCCAAGTTGATGGTAAACTGCGGTGGAGGACGGTCCCCCCGGCGGTCCAGGTCTGAGGGGCCTGGGCTGGCTGGCCAGGGGGCAGGGCTGATGCGCCCCGCTGGGGTCCTGGCGCCCCCACCCCCAGGTTGCAGGCTGGCTCGGGAGAGGAGTTTGCTGCACAGGGAGCCCCTCCCCAGGGCTGTCCCCAGGGTGTCCACTCACTACCCAAAGCTGGGGACACACGCAAGGACCCTGACCCATAGGCGCAGACAGTGAGGCTGGGGGACTGCAGCTGGCCTGAGGTCTGCGTGGTCGTGCGGGGACTCTGACCACTGGATGAGGAGTCCCGGCTCCTGCTGCGACGTCCCCCCCCCCGTGGGGTCCTGTTCACCTCCTGATCACCTCCATCCYGCCCCGGCCCCTCACTGCACCTCACTGTCAAGGTCACCCCCTCCAGCRCCCTTGGTCATCTGCTCCCCTGGTCAGGACCCTGACCTGGCTCCCCACTGCCCGCCTGGCCCAGGGGCTGGGGCCATCTCTGAGTCACCTCTCACCCAGCCTCAGAGCCGAGGGCCACGTGCTGTCACATGTCTTCCAGGTGGGAACCATCCGGCCCCAGGGGGAAGGAGTCCCGGTGCTGGTCTCTGGCAGGGTCTGGTCCAGAACCAGGGGCCAACATGGCGACCCCACACTCAGAYTCCAGGCATTTCCCACGGGTCCCAGCACTCCGGGCACAACTTGGSGCTTTTCACCTGCGTCGTTGTCCCCCGACCAGGGTGCCCCTCCTTCCCACCACCGTCAGCCGCAGCGCTCCTCCCGCGGAGCCCCTCACAGCCCCCTCCAGCCTCCCGGGCCTGCACCGTGGGGTGGGGCAGGTTGGCCTCAGGGTAGGTCCCCAGTGGAGCTCCCCGTCCAGGGAGAAAGCTGGGCCCAGAGAGTGGTGGGAAGTTGCCCGCGGTCACACAGCAGGGCCAGSGCCAGACCAGGGGCCTCCTGACATCAGGGCCCCTGCTCCATGGGCCTGGGGTCCTGGTGTCTGCCAGGCCCTGGGGACACAGGCCCAGCCCTCCCTGCTGCCCGAGTTGCCCGGGGCCGCGTCTCCTGAGCGATGCCTCCAGTTCCCAAACCGCGAGCTGATCCTTGTGGATGAAGCCACCGTCAGGATTAAGGATCAGCGTGTCCGGCCCCCTCCTGCCCCTGAGCCCCCGCCCCCCCTGAGACAAAGAAAGTGTGGCAACAGCTGGTGGAGGCCAAGGCCCAGAGACGGCCACCCCTGAGTCCATCTGCCGCCCACAGTGGCAGGGTGGCCGCCAGGGGGATTAGCCCCTGAGCCCCTTGGCTTGCTCCTCCCTGTCCCCCAGGAAGCCAGGCCAAGGAGGAGGCCCAGGGGCCCAAAGGCAGGTTTGTGTGGCTGTTTCCCGTGTCCTCTCTGCCAACTCTCTGGGGCCAGARTGTGCCCTGGAGCCCTGCCTGTGGGTCCCCACCTCCCACACAGCCTGCCCCCCTCCTGGGAATGAGTCCCCTGGAGTCCCCTGCAGTCCCCTGGAGGTGCCCGGGCCCAACCAGGACACTGGAGCCCAGCCCCAGGCCCCTGGAGAAGGGCACTCAGGAGCRTGGGCGGGGCAGGTGACAGCCACCCACCCCTCTGGCTCCCTGCTCAGCCCCCAGCCAGCCCAGGTGGAAGGGAGGGTCCCCTGGCTTCCCTCTGCAGCCCCCCTTCAGCCCCTGAGCCAAGGTTGCGGTTCGAGTTGGGGTTGGGGCCCAGCCAACAGCCACACGGCCCGCCTGGGCAGGGGGTGCCTGGGCCTGCGCCCCTACTCCACGCACCCCCTGCAGCTGGTCAGCACCTTGGAGAGAAGCCGGCGTGGCCCAGGCCACTGCCCACAGCCCACTGGGTGGCCGCCGGCTTCTCTGACCCTCCTGCCACCCCCGCTCCTCGAGGCCCTGCCTCCCGGGGTGCCCCAGGGTCCTTCAGAACTGACCCCCAGACCTTAGCACCCGCCCCGCTGCCCGGGTGCCARCCTCTGCTCACTGGGGAGGGCGCCCTGGGGCCTGGGCAGGTCCAGGATGGGCCTTCCCTCCAGCACCCGCTGCGGCCATCCCCACACTCCTGCTGCCTGTCCTCAGGGCCTCAGGGCAGAGGGGACGGAGGGTCCCTGGGGCGGGGAGGGGCTCACCTGCCCTGGACACCGCAGGAGAGGAGGGCGGGGGCTCTCCCTGGGCCCTGGAGCCACCCACCTGCACCCCAGGCAGGCCACCGACTGTGTCCTGCAGGAGTCCTGCTCCGTGGGAGCGTCCCCCTGGGGCTGGGTGTGCAGAGAGGCCATGTCGGGGCGGGAGGGTGGGTGGGAGCCAGGGGGAGGGCCAGGTCACAGGGACTGGGGCCCAGAAGGTGGAAGGGGGCAGGGAGGACAGCAGGGGGACCTGGCCGCGTCCACTCTTCCAGCTCCCAGAGGGCTCTGTGGCACCCACCACTCTCCGGTCCCACCTCTCTGCACGTCCCTGGCCCCTATGCACCCCCTTGCTGACCCAGCTTCCAGCTCTCTGGGTCAGGCGGAGGCCAAGCCAAATAAACGTCCCCGGGCAGCCAGCATCATCCCCACCTGACAAACAAGGGCGCTGTGA